GAGCCATGGTCGTATGATTACACACCATCAGATTCTGACTGAAAATCTGAAAAAAATGGCTTTCTCAGGAAGAAAGTACTGAAATCAAGATTCCGTCAGAAATGATCTCAAGATTGTCGACTTGTGTAGCTCCTGAGGGATATTTAATTGGGTATGTCGCCAGCCATTTTTATTAATTTCAGAATTTAACGAAGATGGTACACTGATTTAAAATTCAGACAGGATTTCTGAGATCCATTATAATACCAAATTTATACATTTGAGGTAGCATAAATGTTAGCAAACACTTGGGATCGGAGAACACAGAAAATCAGAGAAAGGTCTCTAAGTGAAAATAGACTGCTATAACGTGGATTCATCGGTCAACAGCAGCGACTATCATGGACATCTGAAGAAAAACATGATGACATTATCGTGAGCAATTCGTCGCATGCGGATCAACTTGGTTCGTTAATAGTCTTGACGATGCTGACATCTCGTCTGTTTTTCTGCTAGCTGAGCATCTGACCAATTAGGTTTCGAGGATAGTCAGCTAGCAAGACAGCGAGACGCAGTTGTTTCAGTCGCTCACCCTTTTGTCAGTCCTCACACTACTTTTTTAAGTGAAGCAATGTAGAGCTGTGTTTCTCCAATACCTATACCTAAGTTAACTTGTTTTATCGTTATTATAGCTGAAGTAATGCCGTTTGGGACAGAAATTTTCACTTTTTAGTCGATAGACTACGCTAGTGAATAGTGGTGACACTTTCTGGTTTCTTGCTCAAAAAAAGAAAAGTAAAAACTGACTTTCCTTTCTCAAAAGAACGGAGAAGTTTTTACTTTCCTACGTTCTTTCCCAAACACCTAATTTACAAAAGGGTTTCAATTACTTTAACATATTGAACAGACGACACCGTGCGACGCTCTTTTCTCCGCATTTAAAGTTTTCTCTCACAAAGAAAGCCTGATGTTATAAAATAAAAACCATTTCTTCTGTTTATCCTAGATGAAGGACGCATAATGACAATCAACAACAAATACAATATCGATGTCAACGCAAGACTATTACACTGGTTTGTTTATTTACTTAGTTATTTATAAACAAATTTTATTTATTTCCTTTGTTTTTGAAACTTTTTTTCTAAAAACTGTGTCTTTAACATGTATTTTCTTAAATTTTGCAAGATCTACCCGAAGGTGTTAGAAGATTAGTGAAAGAATATCTCGAAAAAGTTACTGCATGTGTGCGAAGTCTTGACAGTTCCCACAGAGCTGTTACATAGATCCTATTTTTGGGACGAGAGACGCCACATGAAAAACTTCTGAATAGCTGAGAAGAAGATACCGAATACGCGCTTTAAATTTGTATAATATAATATTTTACAACTGTTTACACGACATTCACTTGCCCGACACCACGATGATTCTGTAAATGCGGTAATGTGGGTATAGTTTGTACCGGAGGTAGTGCAGCTGGATTATGAGAGATATTTGGTGATTGTTCGTTATGAAGATGATAGAAATAAACTTTCGCCTGCGTAAATTTCTGTCATTCTCTTAAAAAAAAACAGTGAAAATGACAGTTACGATCTAGTAAGCTGTTCTTTACTCCTTCCGTTATGTGTGTACTCGTTTTCCATTGTACATGCACTTAGTATTTTAAAAAAAACATTTTAATGCCTGTGAAGAACCTGCGAGGATCCAAAATTTCTTCCTGGGTGATGACATCTCGTCTGTGTTTCTGTTAGTTGAGTATCAATTAGGTTTCGAGGATAGCCAGGTAGTCAGCCAGCGAAACGCAAACATTGTTTCAGTCGCTGAAGTGCACACTTCTTCTGTTGCTCAGCATAACTCTTCTTTTTTGTCATGTTTGCCTACTGTTTCCTCAATAACCATAGTTTTTCCGCGTTTATACGGCTTATTGAAAAACGGGGAAAAGATGACTGGAATCTGCAAGTGGCTCTGATGACACTTTCCAAAGAATTCTTCGAATATCTTATTTAATTGTAGAGTAATTAGTGTTTAAAAGCCAATTTTGCGAAAAATAACATAGAATTTCACGCTTGAAATAATTAAAACATGGCGGATAGAGAGGATCTATGCGTATTAGCTGTATGTACGTCGTGACACTTTCGTTTTTCTCTTGTTTACAAAGAAGAAACAAAAGTATACTTCTGTTATTTAGTCCTGATTCAAAACATAGCATTTTCTGTCACGACTATCTCTATCTTCCCAGCAACAACTCGTATTGATTCTAATTTTAGATGTTTTCATTTCAGCTTTTTTTCTACATATCTTCGCATTACGAAACTTTTCCATCTTCGTTTATCGTAGTGGAACTTCTAGTTTTTCCTGTACTCTTCCTTCCAGTAAGGTAATAAGTCGTTAAAAGTCAGTAATAAACTTTTATTGAAGATGGTAGATAAAGCGAACGATGTGGCTAAACATTTGGTTACTTTCACTCTAATGTGTCCATCATTCTGTGTACGACATACTGAAACTTGTAAGGAAAACTAAATTCAGAATACGAAACAATCTTGTCCTCTATCGAACAAAAGTATTGTGAAAGAAAAGCGCCGATTTATGGTCTTGGTGAGTTTTATGCTGAGGTTGGTTCCCTGTTTTTCTAGTAAACCTTATATGAATAATGAAAATCATTTTTTCTAAACTTTTGTGCTACATCTTTTGTTTTTATCGGACCTATTCAAATAAAAATATTGAAAAGTATTATGTATTCTGATCAGCCGTCAATCAATCCAAAATTTGATGATAGCGACCAATATGAACTTGGTTTTGGCCAAAATTCTCAACTAACCGAGAAAATCGCGACAACTTCCCTTCCTTGGGTCATAATTTGTTTTATAATTTCATTAATTGCGCTAGATATTTGGTGGAACGGTTTTAACCGACTCATAAATAGTTGGTAAAAGAATTTCTGAGCAATTTGGTCGTTCCTTGGTGCTAGATCAACTACATGCTTATTTAGCCTGCTGACATTGGGCAGAGTTTCATAAAAAATTTTAATTTTGATCTTCAGTGATCCTAAGACCGTAAGGAACTGAAATTAGAAGCTCATATTTTAAGATTATACTTAATTTACTAATCTCTAGAGAACCTGTTGAAATTAGTCAAGTTTGAGATGACTTTGCGTCTCCCTGTTGCTCTCAACTGTCTGTACCCATTTTTCTTTCAATCAAGTGAATTTCCTACTTTCAGATGTTTTTTCAATGAGCCTCATTCCTATTTCATTATTTTGTCGATATTTTTCCTCAATAGTTGCCGTCGCAACAAGAAAACTGGTCATAAAAGCTCCAAAATCAATTGATATTGAAAACGTTTATTCAGCAAACTCAACACTAAAATTTGATGAAATAATTGATGTTCGAACACCTGGCGAGTATGAAGTGGATCATTTACCAAACGCTGTTAATCTACCTGTTTTAACGAATGAACAACGCCACTTCGTTGGTATTAAATATAATCAAAATAAATTTGAAGGAAAACACCATGGAGCTATGTTAATAACAAAAAATATTTCAAACATTTTAGAGTATCAGTTGTTTAATGATGTAAGTAAAATGTACCTTGTTCTAATTCACACTATCCTCTTGCGAGAGAACCACAACCGACTTTAGAGAAAAATCAACCCTGAATTTGTAATTAGCATCATTGGTAACCTGTAAAAAACTGTATTTTATGTAAAATCGATTTATCGTGTGGGACGGCTCCTTCGTAAGTCGAAGTGCATGAAAGATACACGTAGACAGACACAAACAGTTTAATTTGAACGATCCTTTATTATTTCAGTCAAATGAACAACAATTACCATCAACGAAAAAGAAATATTTAATTTACTGTCAACGTGGTGGACAACGTTCAATTAGTCTGGCATTTATTTTGACACAAATTGGTTATGAAGAAATTTTTATTTTACAGAATGGATATTCATCTTATCGAAAATATGTTCAAAAAATGATTAGTGAATTAAGTAAACAACTGAAGTGGAGAATCATTGGAACACTGACAGGATGTGGAAAAACAGATCTGTTGAATTACATGGAACAACATTGTCAAATACAAACACTCGATCTAGGTAACAGACGAAATAGTCAGCGAAGCGTGTAAGGGTGCATCAATAGAATCAAACAGATTTTATATTTCAGTCTAAACTATTTTTGTAAAATTTCTTTCCCGTTAGTTTGAACTAGAGTAACGTAAGTTTAGTATCAGGAAGCTAAAGATGAGATGAAAGAATAACGTTATATTTCTTCATTCTTCTTGTCTTGTGTCTGGTTATTATAGTTTTCTTTCATTGTTACGTTTGATATATAGCAAGACATGTGTTCTTACGGAAAAAAATGTTAAGGCGAAACTTTCACTTTCATTCATTTCATATTTCTTTCTTTTTCCTTTCGTCTATTCGTAAGACACATTAAAGAACTAAATGAAAGTTTCATGTGAGGCAAAGAGAAACAAGCAAACAGCAAAGAAATTACAGATTTCACAAAAGGATGGGCGTCGATAAGAGGCAAAATCGGCCCCCTCTCAGATCAAACTCATATTCACAAGTCTGATGTAGTTTTTCTCGCTGATTAAAACTAGTATCTCAAAAAACACATTTTCAGCCCCCCTGGAAAAAATTCCGCATCCAAACTTTTCTCCCCTGAAATGAACTTTATTTAAAATATTTTCCCAATTTCTTCTCTTTGCCCAAAGCAAACCTCAACTGCTGTATATCATTTGATAGAGAATTTCGCGAGCTACAAAATGATATATATAATGTTGAGAACAAATGGGGCGTGGGTATCCTAACACTAGAAATACTACTGGAGAGCGATGTTTTCATCATCGACGGATAGGCAAAATCCATATAAAACCCACCACCATTTACATCGACTTTTGTCCATTTACACCCCATTTGTTCTCAACATTATATATATCATTTTGTAGCTCGCGAAGTTCTCTATCGAATGATATATAAAGTGACGTGGTTAATGATAAACTGGCTGGACAATAGAAGCGATGAACGCTGTTCACCTACGGATTTGTGGAGGACGGAGCTAGTATTTCTAGTGTAAGGATACCGGCGCCCCATTTGTTCTCAACATTATATATATCATTTTGTAACCCGCGAAATTCTCTATTAAATGATATACAGTAGTTGAGGTTTGCTTTGGGCAAAGAGAAGAAATTAGGAAAATATTCTAAATAAAGTTCATTTAAGGGGAGAAAAGTTTGGATGCGGAATTTTTTCCAAGGGAGCTGAAAATGTGTTTTTTGAGATACTAGTTTTAATCAGCGAGGAAAACTACATCAGACTTGTGAATATGAGTGTGATCTGAGAGGGGGCCGATTTTGCCTCTTATCGCCCCCGTCCTTTGTTTTAAAAAATGCTTTATACATTCCGATAACCATCTGATATTTCCTTTCTGCTTGCCTATTAGGGGTGGCACTTTCCCGTTACTTTCCGCTACTTTACTCCGAAAAGTAACAGTTTTCCGTTACTGGTTACTAGTAACGGGAACGATAATCTGTTACCTGTTACCAGTAACGGGTAACGGAAAGCCGTTACCGGTGACGAGTAGTGGAAATCCGTTACCTGTTACAAGTAACGGTAACAAAAATCCATTACTTTACAAAATAAGTAACGGAAAGTAACGGTAAAAGATTCTTGTTCTTGTTTCGATAACCCGTTATTTATTTTGTTAAACTTCTGTAACTAATGAAAATTTTTTTTAAAAGTTTCATATTTTTACCTTGAAAAAATTACTTTTAAGGCTCCCGAATTTAATTTTCGGTTTAAAAACGAAACAGAAATCAATAGCCATAAGATATTTTCTTTTCCATTTCGTCGCGTGTCTATACACGAAAGGAAAGGAAAGAAAAAATGTCAGCGGTCACTATATATAGCGTACGTTAGTGAATTCTGACGAACACGGTCTCATCTCTACAGGAAGCTTTCGTTAGAAGATATAAAAATTCAATCTTCATTTTCGCGCATTCCCACTTACCATCACTGTGGGACTAAACCAATAATACACATGCAAGTCGAAATGATAGTTTTTAGCAGAGAACATTTCTAGTTGAGTCTCGAAACGCCGCACAGTGGGCATTTTTTTGCTAGAGCAAGCGGACTTTAGCTTTATGAGTGAACTAAAATTTCATGAACCATCTTTTTATAGGTTTTTCATGATCCTCTTTCTAATGGCATGAGAGTTGGGTTTTAAAAAAGTTTTCTAA